TTGCTTAATTGTTGGTATCACTCGATTCGAACGATTGGACGCAGACATTGAAGATGGTTCACGTCTTCTACCCTGAGCTGCCAAGTTTCATTGTCGTACAATAATATAGCCATCAGTGTCGCCGTGTATACGCGGTCCTTAAGTTTCAGAAAGGTGTATCCGTGTGTAGGAGTGTCCCACTGCTGATGTGGCTTCTTACATAAACAAACCGATCAACAATCCCCGTAACCTAATTGTCCCACATTAAGTCTTCGTAACCACAGCACTCTTGTAGAAGCACCTTGCACTTTGTGGTTTTAGAGTGCCTTCTGAACTATTTTACAGAGCTCAAAATAAGTTTTTGGGTGTTCTGTACTGTTTGATAATTGTGAAACAGCACCTTCTCGTCAACATAGCGAATATGAGTGGATCTTTTATTAGGTAGAAAGTCCGCGTCAACTTTTTATGCGTGCCGCAGGTAGTCCCCTACCACTTCGTCTGTGACAAAAGTAGTGAAAGTGGACAGCTCTGACTCGGGTCACTCAGTGGTGGAATTGTCAAACAGTCCACCATAGATCCTAACTCGGAGCTGGAGTGTTAGAATGAAGTGCCGACAGTGTGTTCGCCTACGTACTTGGCACAGCTGTGTATTTAGGCCACTTTGAAAATGTAGGTCGATCAGCTGAAGCTAACGCACCTTAATAGTCGAGATAAATGGCAGTTGTCGGCAAGTGATACGTATGAAGTTACCCCGGAATTTGCCAGAGAAAAAAACGTGTTCAATACGCTCTCGTCCAGGACGGTGCTATGACTTTTCTTTCATAATGTCTTTATCACGAGTTGCAGTGAGTCGATGAAGCATACTAGATACCAGAACCTCAGTAATGACTGAGGTCAAGCTAGTTACTCTGTAATTTTTGCAAGAGCTCCTAGGTCCTTTCTTGAAAATGTGAACTATTATCGAGTTCCGACGCAGCGTTCGATCGTCGAGTGTTGCATTGGTCTAGTGGCCTACGTGTATTTCATGTCCCAACAGGTACCTCCTATCTCTGCGGACGTGTCTCAGGCTGACTTGAGGGAGCCGACCTAGAATCTGTGGCTCAGAAGTCCTACCTACAAAACAACATAACACAGTTTACTTGAGAGACCTTACTCAGATCCAGAGACTCAAAAGTATAACGGTCGAAATCGAAGGGCTAATACAACCCGAAGGCATGGTTTTCCCATTAATGCTACGCACAATAACTGTGCAGAAAGCTACATCAGGCTCCCGAGGGGTACTGTTAGTCTTTCGACCTCAATTCGTGATCGTTTGCTGAGCGATCGGAGTACACTTTGTTTGATGGCATCTCGCCTAACGCCCTTCTGCAGAAGACGACAGTGCATCATTTATAAAATTTGTTTCGTTGTACGAGCATAACTTCGTGCTTTATCAACTAAGTACTTTTACGCAGTCAGTAGCGTGGACCTACAAATCAACTTAACGTAACTTGGGTGTCTTTTATCTAACTGCCGACATGTACGTATATACTCTTAGTGTTCAGTTTGTGATAGTGAAAATCTCCACAGGCAAGGTGAGGAACCGGCCTGACTATCAATCACCCAATTGATTGAACGAGCTCCGTAGCCTAATTCGTGAGAAAACCGCGCGTCCACATACTGACAATCCGACAGCAAAAACCGGTAGCATGACCTACTGAACTTAAAATGGTGACTGTACATTGGCTTCTCGGATCAAGTGCTCCCTTCTCCGAACAAAGATCATCCGCTCATATTTTTTATTCCCGAGTATGTTTACTGTCAAACTAATTAAAGTTGTCCTTCTATAAAACCCACCTCCATGCAATGATCACTTGGTGTTAAGATTGGTACTTGTAGTTAATTGTCTTGGGGACGATTGCCATTCATATCAATAGTCCGGATGGCTGCAAAGCGATGCAGCGACAGCAGTAGAGGCAAAACGTCACACAACATCAACAAAAGCTGCAGTAGAGTGACGTTTGATTCGACCCGACTGATCTACAAACCGCCAGACATACGTAACAGCCAGGTAGAAGTTGCACTGACAGACAGTGTTGATACCTGTTAGTGTCTTCAGCTGTCTAACCACTGTTTCATCGGTCAAAGCTATCAGTTAATGTTCTGGCTCAGCTTTTCTCACTGCCAGACAGGTTGGCAGTTGTGTTGCCAACGCCCCACCAGGGAATTCGGTACTGTTCCAGAATACTTTGTTTTCGCCCAGTCACATAAGTGAGTACCGGTAATGCCAACTGTGCCTGTCATGCTTGTTTTCTTGTCGTCGAAGGAAACGTCCTGATTATAACCACTGGATAGTGGAATTATCTGAGTATTCAAGACAAGGTTTAGAACATACATTCGGAAATCTATATCGTTCATAGAATTTTGGAATTTGATAGTATAACAGTCTGTGAAAGGTTAAATATCTTTTTTGACAAAGATCTGGCTAAATATTTTATTTGCAATTTATTAGACCAAAAATCCATGATTGTACGTTGGAGGCACCACCATCTGGACGTGTATTGGGAAGTGTGGTGTAAATATATCAAAATCTTCAGCAGTGGTTGAAGATGATTATCCCATTTAAAGGGATGAACATATCAAACATCTCTTCCACTTGTAAGAAATTTGGATAGCTGACCTTGATGAGTAATGAGTTTCAGTCCATCCACATATGCCTCTCAAGCAGATAAAGTTGATCAGTAAGGATTCTGACTGGAGGCCTGTTGCTGAAAACATCAGTCTACATGAAGTAATTCCGAATACAAAAATAGTCGATAACAGTTCACTAAAAGTGCGCTTCATCTTCGTGAGAATCTCTCGGATTTTACAATGCTCGAGAAGAAACCAATACGTTTGAGGATTAGTAACAAGTATATCAACAGACAACCGTACGTAGTTTTTTCGGAGGTTGCTGCTTAGTTCCCCGAAGGTGGTATCCACGTACCAAATGAATATGCAACCAAAGATCACTGACATTTATGTGACGCTGCGTTTCAACATGCTTGCCTTTAGTTGCCTTCTGTTGTGATGACCATGCCTTCATATTCACTGTTGTAAGAAAATGTTTTTTTTTTGATACATTTTTTGTACAAAAACAATTCATGTGTATCCGTGCTACACAGCTGGCAGACTGTAACAAAAGTGGACTAAAAGTAAGAAGGGGCATGACATCGATGGCCGTGGGCTAAAAAGCGATAACCACGGACCAAAAGAGAAGAGAAAGGATTGAATTATGACAAGAGAACATGTGTCACACCCTAACACTAGTGTGAGGTGATTGGAAAGGTGTATATTTCATTTGCTGCATAGGGAGCAATTAGAGCTCATTACTCTCTCCATAGACAGTTCATTATTCGTACGTTTCACTCACAGCAAAATTCCCACTCAGTATATCTAATTACTAAAGTAGGTCAAGTAAAATACTACGCTGTCGACCGCTGTTGTTGTTGCATTACTTCAAATCTTTAAGCTGTGAGATTCACTACGTTAACTGGCCTGTATCCATTGTAAGCTTACGTAACAAAGCACAGAACAATTACAGTAACTATCTCCTATTTTAATAATACTATTGATGTAAGAATATTAGTATGGATTTCGAATACTAGACCTCTTAGCTGAAGGATGGAAAATCTATGGCAACGAAGAAGAGTTGGTCACCGATCCAGTGCGGCATTTGAACAAGGTACGTTCTATCGTGTGATCGTTGTTACCCATTGTTATACTCTGCTTGGCAGAAATTTCTTCTAAGTAGGTCAGCTTTGTGTTCGTTTTTTTCTCACTCGTGCTTTGAAGCATAGGGTGATGCCGCGCGATTTGTTTGAACTACCGACCTTCGCGCAGTAGTAGCACATTGATATAATATGTATGTACTTTCGGTCTTGCAATCTTGTTTGAATGGGGATTCAAACTGCTAGGGTGCCAATATCTTCTGACCCCAACTGGTGATCCATCAACATCTGTAGCGCGTCTGGCGACTGAACCGTCTAGTTATCCTTTCACGGACCGGAAGTCTTCACGTTCGGTAACTATCGATATGAATTTGCCGTCAAATGGATGGCGTTTTAGGATCAGACTATAGTTCCAAATGACATTGCTCCGGTCGTAACCAGCCTGTTTGAGGAAGCTGGCTATCTGATTGAGTTTCATTCCTGCAGTTTTTGTCTGGGGTGTTCAAAGCTCGGTCACATGTTGTGAGCTGAGAATGCGTGAGGATGATCATGCCTTTTGCGTACTCTTCTCGCGCACCTGATATTTTTCTGGTGCTTTTTTCGAACTTTGAGTAATAAAAATGAAGATCTCGGTGGTTCATGGTTCTCATTATCTAACGGACACGTCACCTGAGTCGATCTAATTTGTGGGTATACCCATCAAGTAGGGTTGAACGGAACGCATTTCAAACCAGCCATCCTTATGTTACTAACCAACCTCAATTTATTGCAACACTGTCCGTCATCTAAAGCCTGCTTTTGGGCGTTTAAGAACTAAGAGGTTATATTACTGATAAGTAGTTTGGCAGATTTATGACTTTAGATGAGACCTAACCGTGAAAAGTCAGGGCTTCAGCTGGATTCGAACCAGCTACAGAAACACCATGCCTCAACGCGGCAAGCGTTCTAATAACTGAGCTACGAAGCCAGGCCAGGAGCTGGAAAATCTCACATTTGGACTCGGATACCTACCCGTCCCACTGTCTCATATGGAATCCACCAAATGATTCAGGGGATCAACTGCCCCGGCAGGATTTATCGAACAATTCACGCCGGAATCCACCAACGCCACTGTTGAGCATAGAAATTGTCTCATCTAAAATCACAAATCTGCCAAACTACTTATTAGTACGATTTCTATGCTCAACAGTGACGTTGGTGGATTCCATCGTGAATTGTTCGAGAAATCCTGCCGGGGCGGTCGATTCTCTGGATCATTTGGGGGATTCCATATGAGACAGTGGGACGGGTAGGTAACCGAGTCCAAATGTGAGATTTTCCAGCTCCTGGCCTGGCTTCGTAGCTCAGTTATTAGAGCACTTGCCACGCCGAGGCATGGTGTTTCTGTCGCTCGTTCGAATCCAGCCTAAGCCCTGATTTTTCACAATTGAGCATCATCTAAAAAATAACCAAAAAACTAAGAGGTTGTTTGAAAGTCCAAGCATGTCATCTAGGTACCTTTCTTTGAATCTTGAGCTACTCTTAAAGACAGGAAATACCGTTATCCATTTGCCCTAATGACGTCACTTGTAATGGCTCTACCAACTGAGAATAACACTCCCTTGGATATTGGCAAAATTGAGTTATCGTCTCCGTGGACGGCGGAACATGCCAGCATGGGGTAAAGTTTGTTCACCCAGACCGACAAAATGTTGGTGCATCATTTTACTGAGGTCGTCGTGACCGGGTTTTATTACTTCGATTTGCTTTAAACCTGTTAGCTACAAGGTGTAGACATCTTGATGGTGATTGGTTGACTTTTTACCTAAGCTCTTTTGTCGGTTTCATGAGTTCCATTGCTCTCGACCCGGTTACTTTTCAACTATTGTTGTTTCACTCTGTATTTTCTCATCATTGACCACTGATGTATTACTGTGATATTGCTAATGTAAGATGTTCCACAGATCTGGTCTAATTTTTTGTTTCAAATATTCTGTTATTTGTCCAGTTTTGCGCGTTATTCGACGTAGACAGGTGGGCGCCTGTGCATAATAAGCTACTAATATTATACCAACACTCCTTCCAAGTTATATTGAAGCGATATCATCAAAGCTTGCAAGTGAGATATGATCAATCTATAATTAGAAAGACTGTAGATTCCGTTTTCATTGCGTATTTTTATCGTTTTCCATTGATTCAGATCTACGTTCAGATGAACACGGAACGCGGCAAGCGGCCTTTGTCAGTAACATCATCTGATGTTGTCCCGTCAGCGTCTACCGCTCCTGTTATAAATCTGTCAGACTTTTCTTTGTGGAAGCGTTTTAGACAACTGACTATGGAACACCTAAAAAAGACCTACGCCGTAGGTTTAACGTTTGATTATAACTTTTGAACTGGTCTTTATCAGTCTAGAACGATGTTGCTAATGGAAAATTATGTAGTCCTGGATTGTGGCTGTATAATGCCCTTAGAATGGACACACCTCATTTTTCAGTTATCAGTTCCACAAAACAGTTCTTTCGACTGGATCACAGATTGCCCTGACATCCAGGGTCAAAACTGCCCTGACTTTTGGTAGATGTGGTGATGTTCGAGTATTCGACGAAAGATGAACATTAGATTATTACCTCCCCGGTCCACGCGAACTCCAGCTAACTCCTCGCGACACGGCTCTTCACACTTTTTGAACGACCTGAAAGACCAAGCGAACACTAGCAGTTTAAGTGCAGAGGAAATAAAATTAATTCTTCGACGATTGTTGTTTACGTTGCGCGATTCCGATCCAGGACAAAGGAACTCTCTCACTGTTCTAACCCTTGGAGAATAGATCATGATTTTCCAACTGGCGTGCCTCAAGCACCCTTTAAAAGGGCCGGGGGGGGTTCGTCTGAACTGGATGTCGTGTGGTACTTAATAGTTTGGGTCCCCGTTTACATTTTTTGCTTTTATGGAGGAGTCTGTTCACACAGATCAAGAAACATAACTAGATCAACAGGGCAGAATAAACGACACAAAGGCCCACTGAAATGTTAACTAAAAGTGCTCCGTCCAACGATCCGGGCACCCTTTTAGTCTGCATGCCAATGAACCATGTTTCGTACATTGTTTTCAGACAATCAGCCGTTTGGGAACAACGGTTTGTCTAAGATGAAATAACTTCCGGAAATTTCCGGTTATAGCAGCTAATTCCATCTCCATCCCACGTTTTGGTCACTATGATTTTCCTAGTGTAAGATATCTCGACATCTGTTTCGTTTGTTGTGATGTTAATTTAAGATGTCCCAGATAACTGAGTCTTGGCGAGCTAATGTCCTTTGTTGTGTACATCTGGCGGGAGCGCGTCTTCTCATGCTGTAAGATCCAACCAATCCCTGGGTTGGCCAGCCCATCCATGTGTATATTAGCCGTGCAATCCTGTTCACCGTTGATTCACAGCTAACCCCCAAACAAAACGGGTTTGGTAGGTTGCTTTGAGATTCACAGTGAAAAGTTGTCTGTTCGCTTGGATACAATCCAAAAACGGGGCTCGGCGCTGTTGCCGTGGCACTACCGATGCCTGTTGAATTACATTCCGATGGTTCAGAGTCCCTAGAGGGATATAAGTGAAACTTCACTTCAGCAGCAGATGAGGACGTTAGTCAGACTACAGATTTAGCGTCCCGTTATAGTTGTTTTTGCAAAATTATACCTACTGAATGTCATCGACGAACGACTGTGTTCGTTTCGTCCGACAGACATCAAGCACTCGTTTATTACAGGACCAGTCACGTGCGTACGTAAGTACGGCACTACGTTCGTTTGCGTACATTCGTTCTTTTGTTCAGCATCCACTTGGGTCGTTGTCCAAGTTCCAGTCATCCATCCATGGATTTCCATGTGAGAGAATGAATGGTGGTTTAAGTTCTGTTTAATCACAGGCTACTCATTAACGTCCGTATACCACCTACATACTATTACTGGGTTTAAAAAAAACTCCATCAAACATTAGCTACTTTTGAGCACTAGTCTTTTTACTCACGTAACAGTAGATCCAGTTGTACTGAGCGCATTTCACGCTACTATCCATATCAAAATATGCTTTATGTGTGGAAGTACTGTTTATTATAGCTGCTGGTGTTTGGTTGAGACCAATGGGTGGCCAATTACCCTTTGAATTTGCATTTCGATGTTCTTTTTCCTTTCACCACTGGCTGTTTGCCAGACTACTGTGTATATACCGATACTTACCAGTTTCTAAAAATTATCATGTTTGTCTGACTGTCACTCATTCACTGTCACTTTGTCCTTCTTTCCTACGGTCGTGTACATGGTTATTTACTATATTTTACTGGATAGTGCCAACAAGTTTATATTTCACTCGTTTGGTGTTTGTGATTGAACAGTTGAACGGCATCGTTACTGTTGGGTTCTGTACCTTTTATGGTTTGCAGCGGATGAATGTTCAGTTTACAACTTTCGAATATGAGTCGGATTACGTGCAACCGGCTTATCTTGTAGTCCAACGACTTCTTGATTCAAATATCGCAATCCGAGACAAGTGAGTCAGTCGTTATAGAGTGCTGTTTGTGAAATTCATGCACATCGCTCTCTCTTTTTATCTATCTCTCTCTTGGCTCTCCTAATTTCTGCTGTCAGACGTGTCTACTGACAGGCCATCTAGAGTACTATCAAGCTCTTGCTCCATACTGTATAGCTCTGTTTGGAAACCTAGTTAAATTTCGATTCCCGTGTTTGGGATTCGACCATGGTGACCGCTGTTAACTGAGTGTACTTACAACCGTACTTTCAGTTTTTCAGAAACAATTCCCTCAGGTAGCTCGCTCGTACCGGTTCATCTCAAAATCCCAACAATCCATAAATCCTATAGTTCGCTACGTTGCTTGGTTGCGTCGGGTTAACTTACTAAAATGACAGTGGCTATTGCACTTATACCTTCACAATCTTGGTCAGTCATGCCTTTGCCATTCATCTGTAAAGACAAATTTGGTTAGGTTAGCATTCTGTTTCCCACATCGTGCTGACCATAACTTTTCGTCACTTTTGTACAAGCACCCCAGGTAATTCAAACACTGATTGACATAATGTAATACTCGGAATTAGGGACTTCGAATAGCCCTTGAAATCGTACTAGG